TACCTCGCCCTATTCACTACAGATGTCGCCCTATGCACTATGCTTTTTTATAGGAACTTTTCAAAGCAAAGGTTTTATGGTGTCGGACACACAACATTGAAAGTTTCTGGATCCACAACATTGAAAGTTTCTGGACACACAACATTGCAAGTTGATAAAAGCGTTGTAAAAAATAATAAACATTAAATTAGTAAACAAAAAAAATATAAAAAACTGATCAAAATGTCAATTAAGTTAATCAGATGACCACTAGGGAACATATGGTGTTCATGTGTATGTACTTATGTACAATGCTACGCATGGGGAAGGTTGATAGGTTGTTGTATTGTTTGTTTGATGTTGTTGTTGTTGTAGCAGCAGTGCTCAACCCCCCAGATTTGTCATGTGTCGTCTTCATCCTCCGACTCTGTGAGCCTGAGGCCGAGAAAGCGGGCTGCGTCGATAGGCGCGGTCCAGAGCGCTTCTGGTGTCAGGGTCGTAGGGTTGGAGGTGCACGTGAAGAGGTGCTGGGTGTCGTGGGGACCTTGCCCACATGCAGGGCATGTGTTTGCCACTTGTGTGTTCAGCCGAGAGAGGTAGCTGTTGAGTCGGTGACACCACCCAGAACGGAGTTGTGCTAGGGTGCACCTGGTCTCTCTCGGCAGCTCTATTTCTTCCGGATCTATGGGCGGCGGTCGACCGCCTAAGACGATGTTGTCATTACGCGTACTGAGGCTCGTTCTGACCGCATCGCTGTGTAGGCTGTTGAGCGCCGCTCTGTATGTTGCTGCGTCGAATGGATGGTCTACGTACGGCTCAATGTCCGCTTTCCAGTCGTGCAGGTGTCGTCTCACGTGTCGTGGGGGCGGTTCGTTACGAAGCAAGGCATTGTTGGGGTGATTCCCTCGGTGACAGCCTACGAGGTATTGCTTCGACAGCATGGTGTTGTGCTCTTTCACCGCCAGCATCTGGCTTTCTTCATGTAGGTGATGCTCGGACGACATGAGATGACAACCTGTAGCCGTACGTAGAGCTGCATTCTGGCAGGTTTGGAGGTTCCTCCATCGGGTGTCGCTTGTCCCCGCCGTCCACACTGGTGCCGCGTAGTTAGCCACTGACCGGCCGATTGCCTTGTAGGTCGCGAGCAGGGTTTCTTTATTGGCTCCCCAGGTGCTGCCGGCTAGCGATTTTAGGACTTTGTTCCTGGCTCGCAGTTTGTTGCATGTGGCTTGTTTGTTTGATGTTTTAGGTTGCCTTCATTCTACAGGAGAGGGTAGGTTGTTGTATACAAATGCATAACAATTGGTTACAGAGTATAGAATGACTGTTTACTCAGCAAATACAAAATGGAAATTCTTTACATCGAAAATCTTGAAGAAAGTGTGCTTTGAGGTCGTGGGCTGATTTAAGACCAGCTTAATCAGACAACGTAGGCCCGAAACTTTGTGTGTTTGAAGTTCGGAATAAGAAAATTATTTTTTCGTAGAGTACAATTTTTCAATCGAGTCATCTGAAGCTTTCCTTCTACTAAGTGTATAATATAATATGACCGAGCAATAGAGAAATGGCTATTTAAACATGCGAAATTCCAATATGTAAAATCAATGTTTGTACGTAATGTGTATTTTAGCTATTTTTATAAGCAAACCAAAATTGTTTTGCATAATTCTTGCAGCGCATGAATCTATGTATGTATACAGATTCTAAGCGATGTGCACGCATAAGTATTCTATTTAAATAAAGATTTAGAAATTGTATCAATTATTTCTTAAGAAACTGTATCTATACATACGCCTTTGCACACAAATGATCATTCATTTTTGCTCTGAGCAAAATATATGATATGATAAGCAGCACACAATGTGGCCGACGAGGAAATTTAAAGCAAATTTTCACACAAATTTCGGAATTTAAAGAAATGAATCTTAGCAAATACATTCAGGCTATTTGGTGAACGTGAAAGGCATACACTTGTACATACATATGTACATGTATTGCAATAAACCAGTGTAAAGCATGCCAGCTTATATGTACATATGTAGATTCTACAATAGAGATTTGTGTGTTGGTGCCTGGGTATCTGCAGCCATATGCTACCCAAGCGTCCGTGTCAGTAACACCAAATTCAATCACGTATTCCAAATCACGTGCATCTTAAACCAAGCGCAGCTGCGAAAAATAGGTACCAAGCAGATCAGATACATACATCCATCCATTATTTGTCTGTATTCACTCTCTTTAGTTAATGTTTACAGCACTTTCCTACTGAATAAATAATGTTGGAAACATTTTACGAGCAGACAATTTTACATTTAAAAGACAACAGCCAATTTACTTGTACTTTCAACACCTGATCCAAAGTAGCATGGAGTTCATTAATGTTGCAAGTAAAGAAGAATTGGAGTGACGCAAACAGTTTTTTATTGAAAAAGAAAATATATATGTACCTATCTATGTTTTATTTTGCATAACGTATTATTACAAATAGTGATGGTGTTGTCGTTAGAAAGGACTGAAACTTTTTTCAAAAATTGATTGGAATGTCTTGAGAGCTTCGTTTGTTATAGAAATATCCTGCATGTCATAATGTTTCAATAATAGAAGAATAATTAGACAGAGTAATAATAATTGAATCATTGCATATCCTCCTATGCTGGTTTTTAATGATGATCGTTTCAACTCAAACTTTTAAAGAGAAACACTTAAACATATTTTCTTTTGGCTTGTCATACTCATGCAACCAATTTAGAAAGTATGATTCATCATAAAAAGATGCATGCTTTTTTTGTGTTTGTACACATAAGGCAAAGAAAACTACAACAAGCATTAACAAAATATTTATTGAACTAAAAACTAAGCATAATACCAAAAAAAAAAATTAGGTACCTAATAGTTTAAGAATCATTAAGTAATATTTTTGGCAACTTCTTGGCCACCCGGCACATACCTTCAAATCCCGCCCGTTGGCGTTCAGCATCGTATTTCAACAGCGCCACCTTAATAGCTTCTCGCTCGGAATCCTTTAAATTGTAGACCAATTCCCGCGCGCGTTCAGAGCATAGTGGCTCATGCACTGTATCAGTGGGATATTTGCCACGCACCGGCGTTGTGGATTGCGAACAAATAGTGGTATGTAACTGACGGATGTTAGTATGGCGACTTGTTGGTTTATTTTGGAGTCGGGGGAGGTGATATTGCTGGCATCGCTGCTGACAAAAGACACCGGTAATATTGACAGCGCTGGCAGTGAGATTTGTGTCAACTAAGTTGGTGGCAAGTGCAGTGCCTCCTAGCACATGCAGCTGATTATGTTGCTTTCCTAATTGTGATAAGAATCGTGTTTGTTTTTTAAATAAACACAAACAAGTCCGTGCATAGCGCGCAAAAACGAATGTATCTGCTTGCATTTTTTTGGAACTCTTAAAACCTAAGCTCTGAGAAATAGTGATCACTGACTTTACACTTTTATTTTGACTTTAAAGGATTTTTTCTAATAAATCCACCACTTAAGCGCGCACTTTATATTGCTATTATTTTATGTGTATTATATTTTTTAGCTTCTCCACACCATACCAACTAGTTTCATTGTTGCTTTTGCAATGACGTCACGTACATAAGCATGCGTTTCGCGACTGACACTCGAGCATTTGGGTTGAGGTAACGCTGTCGGAGAACGTTTATAAACGTTCTCTGGTATCACTGCTTGTATGCTAACGCGTGGAATCTTTCTCGCTGTGAGCGTAGCAATCCCCAATGAACACTGCAGTGTCTCAGTGGCAATGCAAATCAGTTAAAAATAGCACAGAAATTCGATGTACACCCGGACAATTGCGTTGTCTCCGCGACGCTTTAACAAGCCCGACTGGCGCTGGTTTCCTTTGCTATCCGTGTGTAAACTTGCGCTGGCACTGCGAGATGGCCTACAAAAGCTTTGCGAATTCTCTTGACCAATAATTTTCTAGTTTGTTGCGCTTTTAACCACTTTTCCACCACTTCATGTTTGCTGGACAGTAAAATAACAAAAAAAAAATTAAAATGACAAGTGCTTTGGATGAACAGCTGATTGGGCTACATGGTTGCATTAGGATGTTTGGATTAGAATGAAATGGGATTAGGAACAGCCGCCATACAGGGGGCGCCGTAGATCTGTACCAAAATCTTAACATGATTTTGTAATACATTTTTGAATTTTTAGAAAAACGCTTCGACATGTTCAAATAACTGCCGTTCCTCAATTGGTGTGCTAAGCCTTGCGTTTTTCTATGCCAACGAGCGTCAGCGCGCGCTATACCCAAATAAACGCGGCGTTATTTATGACGTTGTCTCTTTTCCTCTCGGTTTTTATTCTCATTTCCCCTTTCACTTTTTTGTCCTCTTTCTTTCTTTCTGCCTTCTGCATCTAACTTCAACACGTAATGCCATTTCAAATATGAAAATTCCATTTGGTTAGCGCTAGCGCGGCGTTATTGTAAGATGCTTCATACAAATTGTATTGGCATGAGAATTTTTGTCTGTTTCTTGTAGCTTGACGCGCCAATTTAGAGGCGGCAGTAAACATAATTTTATTCACTTTTAGCAAATCATCTTAATATTTATCAGATAGGTTCTGCGATTCACCCCCGAGTGAATTTCTACCCCCTTTTAATTTGAATTGAAAGTGATTTTGGTGAAAATTCACTCGGAAGTGAATTGCAGAACCTGCCTGTACACTTTTTTCTACACCTTGCCGTGTCACAGAGTAGGTCTGTTCGATGAGTGCACTAAACGCCCGTGTTAGTTGATAGCAAAGTAAGAATGATAGAATACAAGATTGCACATCTAGGCGGCGATGACATTTCTCAAGTAAAAGTAACGCTTTTTCTGTTACTAGCGTACCCTAATGCACTCAACGAACAGAATTCCTCACTTCGTTCATTTACTGCAAGGCGCCTAACTCTCTCCCCTTGGAAATCCTTGGCAACCATTTTTCCACCTGAACGAAAGAGGTCAGACTGCAGCTGGGGATTCACGTCGACGACGAACCAATTCCGACGGTGAATAACCCAAAAATCCTCGGAGTTACCTTGGAAAGTCTGCTCTACTTCTCGGCGCATACAACCGAAATTGTCAATCGAGTACAGAGGCGCAACAAAGTCCCCAAGTCGATGCCGGCAGCACCTGGGGCAAAGACAAAGAAACGTTGGTTGGCAACATACAAGGCAATTGGGCGGCCGGTCCTAAACTATGTAGCGCACGTGTGGTCGCTGGGAATTAGAGGGACACAGTGTACGAAGCTACAGACATACCAGAACGCGGCACTCCGGACCACGACAGGATAGCTCCTGATGTCGCCTCAAACCACCTTCACAATGAGGCCCAAAAACAAAAAAAAAAACTATTTGATCGATTCTGCGAAATTCGAAGTTTTACAAGGGTTAATGTTATTAACTTATTTGTAAATGAATTTAGTAATTATTTATTTTCCACTGATCCATATCATGTATTTTGCTGATTCTTTCTTATGATAATAGTTAAGTAGGCACCCCTTAGCCTGATTGTTCAAATAATCGTTTTTTTTTTTTAAATTAATTTTTTTTTTAACAAATGAAAATGTTTATTACTTTGAACTGTCAGGCTTATTTGTGTCTACTTAACTATTATCATGAAAAAGAATCAGCAATGTATATGGTATGGATCAGTGGGAAATAGATAATTACTGAATTCATTTACAAAAAAGTTAATAACAATAACTCTTGTAAAACTTCGAATTTTGAAAAATTTCTCAAGTTGTACTTTTTTTGTTATGGTCGTAAACCCAATAAAGTGATTTGTGCCAAAAAAATTTGACCTTCCAAATTTAGGTGACACACTTGAGAAATTTTCACTCAGTATTCTGTATGGTAGAGTAACTGTAAATGATATGCCCTCTCAAATCCCCAAATTTACATGACGTTTAGAGATTTTCGTCGTATACAAAGTCGCTCGTATTTATTAATTAAATATCTTATGAAATAATCATGAATATAAAGTATTTCTGCTATTTTATATATTTTTTGTTAAATCTAATGTAAAAATAGAAACTAAAGTAATTAATGTGTATTTTTTTCGAAATCATGTCGGTTTAAAATTATTCGACTTGTAATGCAAATCTTGAAAACAGATTTGAAATAAATCGTAATTATGATTTTATTTCTTCGCTAATTTTTATGTTTCATAAATAAGTGGCACAAGTAATTTTTTTTTTTAGCTATGAGTATGTTCCATATCCGTAGATTCGTAGGCACCAAGCATCTTTTTCCTTTACGTGCAATCGTGCGCTCTCTGGCCCGGTATGCCACGCAGTTCTTGCGTAAGTGTGCGCAGCAGCGGATGTTTACCGCAACCGCAACGCCCTCGGAAATCGTCCAAATCCAAAGCCCAAACCATACCACCTCCTAGACCCAAACTCTTCACGAACTGTGCCTTTCGCCGTATATCCGATACGTCGTCGTACGAGACCCATTGATTACCATTGTAGGCATATGGACCAATACGTCCCTGCGCGTCTCGTATCACCGACCAACCACCGTTGTTTACCTTCTCACATATCTCGTAGTAGGCGAGGAAACCAGCTGCGCGCGTGAATGCTCCCGCCTGGCCAGGACCAGTAGATTTGGTGTTAAGACCGCGTTGTTGAACATCAGCCAGTGTGAAGGACTGTCCATAGAGTGGCATACCCATGATGAGCTTCTCACGTGGTGTACCTTTCTCTAACCAATAATTTATGCTGAAGTTGGCATTGAAATATTCATTAGTATCGCCATCAACATAGTACAGCGGTGCCACATGTCCAGTCTGTTTATCCCAGTTGCCATGGAAATCATATGTCATAACAGCTATCCAATCGAAGTAACGCGCCAATTGTGACACGTCATAACCGGCATCGATAACCGTTTTGCTGGGCGAGACGGCAGCAGAGAGCAGAAGATCACGCGGCTTAAAAGCAGCCGAAAGTTCGCGTACCAGTGCCGCAAAAGCTTCTTTTTCTGCAGGCGCACCCTTTGTGCAGTCGACTTGCCAGCACACGGGATATTCCCAATCCAAGTCGAGACCTTCAAAGCCGTACTTGTCAATGAAAGTAAGTATGCTTTGTATAAAGCGCGCGCGTGCGCCCGAATCTAATACCAAGCGCGCATATTTGCTGCCCAGTGAGTCATTCCAACCGCCAATGGCGATGGTCACACGAATACCTTTACTTTTGTAAGCAACAACGCGCTCGTAAAAATGATTATCGATATCGGCCCATGAGTCGTGCGTTCGTATGGTCAGTGTTTCAGAGTTGAGCACAGCAAAACCATAAACGATATGCGTGCAGAGGTTTTCATCGATATCCTCGGGCAAATATTTGCCATCACTCGGACGATACCAGGCCCAGTTTGTAAAGTAGCAGACGACTTTATAGTCGCCACTCCTATTAATGGGCGGCAATGTTGGTGGTTTTGGACGCGCAGTTGGCTTCTTATCAGGTAGCTTTGAGGGCTTTTTAGTTGGCTTTGTAGGACGTGGCGCCGATGTAGAAGCTACAGGCTTAGGCCGACTTGTAGCTTTCGTAGGCTGCGGGCGTTTCGTCGTTGCGGCGGTGGGTCTCGGACGCCCGGTGGTTGCCTCTTGACGCATGAAACACTTCGAGTTTAGCGGCCAATCACAGTAAAACTCATTCCAATGCAAGCCTGCGGGGCACCTGAAAAGTGTAATGACAAATGTTAAAGACTGAAAATTAGTTAAATTAAAAGTTGGTGTCGTACCTCTGTTCGATTAGTTTTTCAAACTGACAAATGTAATATTTATTGCAGTCACGCTCGTGTGGCGCAAAGTTTCTTCCATTACAGGGTTTAGTTTCCTCTTCACCGAAGTCCTCTAATGCAGCGATCGCAAGTGGCTCTGTAGTTTCGATAGGTTGACTGGAGTATGTGGGGCGCGTAGTTTCAACCGGTTTCGGTTTCGCCGAGTACGCTTGCGATGGACCCTTATCTGAGGCGACTATAAAAAAAATAATGAAAATTATTTCAATATTCATGAACAGTTGAGTCTTCCAGTCTCAGCTATTTAAGGTATCACTTACTCATGGTATTGTCCTTCTGCTCTAGCACACACTTTGGTGCTGGTCCGGGGTAGTTTCGCAGAACGCGATTAATTGTTTTCAGCAGCGGATACGACTCGCATCCACAAACGTTCNTCGCCGAGTACGCTTGCGATGGACCCTTATCTGAGGCGACTATAAAAAAAGTAATGAAAATTATTTCAATATTCATGAACAGTTGAGTCTTCCAGCCTCCAGCTATTTAAGGTATCACTTACTCATGGTGTTGTCCTTCAGCTCTAGCACACACTTTGGTGCTGGTCCGGGGTAGTTTCGCAGAACGCGATTAATTGTTTTCAGCAGCGGATAAGACTCGCATCCACAAACGTTTTTAAAGTCATCCAAATCCAGCGCCCAAATCATAGCACCACCCAATCCCATCGCGCGCACAAACTCACTCTTATGCCTTATCATCGAAACATCATCGAATGAGACCCACTGATCGCGTTGGAAGGCATAGGGTCCCATGCGACCACGTGGATCACGCACCACACTCCAACCACGTTTGCGAATATACGAGCAAATTTCATAGTAGGCGAGGAAACCACGCGCACGTGTCGCTTCGCCGGCTTCACCGCCACCGTAGGTAGGCGCATTCAAGTCATGATCCGATGCTTGTGCTAGCGAGAACGACTGTCCATACATCGGCATGCCCATGATAATTTTCTGACGATCGGCGCCGCTCTGCAGCCAGTAGTTAATCGAGAAGTTAGCGTTGAATGTTTCCGTGCCAGCAGGATGATCGTACATAGGTGCAACGTGTCCGGTTTTCTTGTCCCATTGCCCATGGAAGTCATAAGTCATAACTGCGATCCAGTCGAAATAACGTGAGAGAGATGGCACATCATAGCCGGCGTCGATGACTTTCTTGTTGGGTGAGACGGCTGAAGATAAGAGAAGACCCTGTGGTTTGAATGCCTGCGAGAGTTCGCGCACCAG